GAGTTGCCAAGGCTATGGAAGCCTTCTGAGTTCACTGACTTTGATCTTATTCCGACAGGGTCATAGTCAAAGTGGAAGTTCTCTCCTCCCTTCAGAGAAACGTACCTCCTTCTTTGATGGCCCTATTCTTTCCACTGGGATCTCACTTGCGGAGAAACCATTTAGGTCTTTTTTTTTTTTTTTTTTTCCAGGGTGTCTTGGCTTTCCATGCCTAAAATACTCTCATGGGCTCTTCAGCCAGATCCAAATGCCTTAAGGGCTGATTCTGAGGCCAGAGTGCTATTTAGGACATCTGCCATTCTATGAGTCTACTGTGTATCCCGCTTCCCATGATGGATCGTTCTCTCCCTTTTTGATTCTATCAGCTAATATTTGCAGACACTAGACTTGTTTGTGTGATCCCTTTGACTCTTAGACCTATCAGTGTGATCAATTGTGAACAGAAATTGATCACTGGGACTAGTGAGATGGCATTGGTACATGCCACCTTGATGGGATTGTATTGGGATCCCCTGACATGATTCTAACTCCACCATTTGGGGCAAGTTCGATTGAGCATGTCCCAAACTGTACATCTCCTCCCTCTCTTATTCCCACTCTTATATTTACTTGAGAGGTAGAAAACACACAGACTTATTTTTCATGAATGTTTTTATGACTGCTATAGTATTTGGCTGGGGATATTTTCAATCTAATTGGGCCTGGAAGGATGTAATTTCTTTAATACTATCACTCAAAAGAAAAACAGATAATAATAGTGCTATTAATTAAGTAACCATCAAATTACCACATTAATTGCAAATGTTTAGTATACTCTTTTGCCCAAGACCTGAGAGTCATGTTAAAGTCAAACCTTTCTAACTATTACATTTATAAAAGACATGCATTAGCTTTCTAGCACATTAAGCTAGAGTTTCACACTTAAGTTTCCTGAATTTTCCATCACACAAACAGAAATAGCACAAATTACTTTCACCAATCGTGTCCACATTTACTGGCATAAAGGCTAAAAGGTGTTTTACCCTGTGTATCAAGCTAAAAAACTGAAACAGCTTGCTGTCAGTTTCAGCAACCATTTTTATAAGCATGGCACACTGCCTCAAGCCAACTAAACACTAAAGCATGTCGGGCTGCCCACACTGCAAATTATTTGGAATGTTCTCCATGTTTTGTGGTTGTAAAAGTACCAATTTGATGGATCATCCAGTTCAAATTAAGGGCACATCTGATCTTCAACAGAAAATTCCCACGAAACTGAAACGACAATTGACCAAGATCCCAACAACGCTGAAAATCTGTGATCTCAGGTGCATAGTAAAATGTCTCAAATGTTCTTTTTTGAAAACTAAAGGAACATAATGCAAACTCCATGAAACCTGTTAATATGATTGCAAGTAAACACCAAGAACTCACCCTAAATACACACATCATATTTGCAAAAATGGGGGTAGAATTGCTACATGCAACAAAGGACATCTATACCAAAGATGACACATATAAATCACATATAAATATAAGTAAATTAGAGCAACCATCAGTCTAAAATATTTCATTTCTAATTTTCATACATATGCTGAAATGTAATTCTTCAGTTATGAAATTTAAGACACATTCCAAAGTTGAATAAGATGGTTTACCTTGTAATAACTGGAGCATTGTATTATAGGTATTATTTTTCCCAAGCATTAATGAGTCCCTCTCTTAAATGCTTAACAAAACTTCCCCAAAGTTTGCCTCCCATGCCTCTGAGATCTACTCTTAAGTCCCAGACCTGTGGACCTAAAGGTCATTTTTTTTAAATATTTATTTTATTTATTTGAAAGACCATTAGAAAAAAAGAGAGGTACCTTCCCTCTGTTGGCACACTCCCCAAATGCCCTCATCGGTCAAGGCTGGGTCTGGCTAAAGCCAGAATCCAGGAACTCCACCTGAGTCTCCTACATGGGTAGCAAACACCCAAGCACTTGAGCCATCTTCTGTTGCTTTCCCAGGTGAAGCAAGCTGGGATCAGAAGTGGAGCAGCCCAGACTTGAACTGGCGCTCATATAGGATGCTGGCATTGCAGGTGGCAGCCTAACCTGATGTGCCACAACATTAGCCCTCAAGTCATTTTTGATGTGTTATACTGCAGCTTGGGAGGCTTGCACCCTATATCTGAGTGCCAGTTTATCCCAGCTACTCTGATTCAGCTTCCTGCTAATGCATACTATGAGAGGCAGCAGATAATGGCTCAAGAACTTGGGTCCCTGCCACCCCCGTGGGAGACAAAGATGAAGCTCCAGGTGCTCACTTGCTCTCTCTAGCTCTCTCTTACTCTCTGCCTTTCAAGTGTGAAAATAAATTTTAAAAAATAAATAAATAAAACGCTACACTGACAAGATAACTTTTACCTAGAGGTTCACTTACTGAAGATAAACTATTGAAGTTTAAGGAATACCTGGTTCAATCCTCCACTGGTGCTGTAATTCAACCCATTTTAATAGATAAACATATGGATAGGATCATTGGCAAACAGCTCCCAGTTCTAAGCCTCATAAGAGTTCAAGAATATATGGCAAACAGTATTTTTTAACTTAAGAGAATCAACTAAAATGTGGAAAAGATGACATGTTCTAAGAATTATTTTGTTTCTGATCTTTTAGACCTGCTGTTCTTAGAGCACCTGTATTATCAATATCTGTAATGGCTTTCCTCAAATGGATGGATGGATAGACAATAAATAGGCAGACGACAGGCAAACAGATAGGTACAGATCTATACATATATAAATCCATGTGTGTCAACACATAACTTCAAAAAGAATCATTCACAGGGCCGGTACCGTGGTGTAGCAGGTAAAGCCGCCATTACAGTGCCAGAATCCTATATGGGTGCCGGTTCCAGTCCCAGCTGCTCCACTTCTCATCCAGCTCTCTGTTATGGCTTGGGAAAGCAGCACAGGACGGCCCAAGTCCTTGGGTCCCTGCACACACGTGGGAGACCTGGAAGAAGTTCCTGGCTCCTGGCTTTGGATCTGCCCAGTTGCAGCCATTTGGGGAGTAAACCAACAGATAGAAGACCACCCCCCCCCCTTTCTCTTTTGCCTCTCTGCAACTCTGCCTTTCAAATAAATAAATAAATCTAAAAAAAAAAAAAAACTCATGGAAAATTAAACTGATACATTTATTTTTTTAAAAAAATGAATCATTCACAAAACAATCATCCCAAATCAAAGATCTCAAGGTATTCAACATTAACCAATTCAATTCCAGGAACTAAGTCACATTCCCCTGAGATCTCCCAATCCTTGCTTTCTTGAATTGAGTTAGGCAAACTTATGGTAAAACAGCAATTGTCTAGGAGTCTTAAGTATGTGATTTTTCTAAGATTTTTTTCTCCAAAAATGTTCAGTTTGCTGCATTTTCAGAAAATGTCCAAGATGTTTTCTTTTTAAAAGTTTCCTTTCTTGTACATATGAAAGCAAAGTAGCAAAGATGTACTCAAAGGTGAAAATCAGTATCCCAAATAAAACTTTACCATAGTAATGGTTACTCTGGAATGATTTTCTTTCCAAACTTCCCCACTGCAGATAAGATGTTTGCTACACTGTCTTCTATATTGGTAACTGCATTTTTCACACACAAAATTCCATGTAAAGAATATACCTAACACTATACTTCAGATACTTAATAACATTCTTTTCTTTAAATAAGCTTCCACTTCTATTTTTGCTGTTCAAACTGACCTGGATAATATAATCAATACTATCGTTGAAATTTTGATTATGCAACACTTCACAAAACACTGGGACTTTTCATCAGCACCTTTGATTCCTAGCTGACATCCGATGTCCACTACGTGAGAAGGCAGAACCGGGAATGGACAAGAGTGGCAGAGACTTGCGAAGTGAGAAGATAGGGCTTCCCTTGCCCGGGAGTACACGAAAAAAATTCATTTGTGTAATCAATGAAGTTATATATTAGGTTCTATCAAGTAACTGTACGTATCACAAACCTCATCCATGGATAAAACTGGAGCAATGTCAGATTATGCAAGAAACATCAGGGTTTCATTTATGAGTCTTAGAAATACTACTCCTGAAATTGGCTGGGCCCTTCTTAATCTAAGACATAATGAAAAACAAATTCACCATAAACAAAGAGAAAGTCCTATTTTTAAAAACCGTGGTTAAAACGCGTCCTACCTCGCTGAAAACAAACTGCATCCTACTTGGGGGAATACCTGGATTTCTTAAGTGTTGAAACTGAGGCTAAAGATTTCATCAAAGACTAAACGATCACTTTTAAACGTGAGCCAGTGCTGGGGGGCAGATCTTTATAAAGCTAGGCTGTTGGGGGCGGGGATGTTTAAGCACCCGGAGCCTCTAGGATATATACGTTACAGCTGCTGCTTCTTTTAAGGAAAAGACGGTTTCCAAAAATGGGAGGAGGAAGGAGAAGTAAAATCTCGGCAAAGCTGAGAAGCTCCCAAAGCTAAAAGGCGCCGCGCCGTGAGCGGAGACCCACTCGGAACAGCTGGGGCTCAAATCCAGCCTTCATGCCCCCGGCGCAAGCCGGACCCTCAGGAACCACGAGACCCCCGAGGGAAAGTTCAGGAGGCTCCGGCTCTGTCCTCTGCCCCCCAGCACCGAGTGTGCCCCCCGGGCGCCGCGGGCGGGGAGACCCGGCACGGGCGCCCACGGCGCGACGCTTTCCTAGAAGGCCCAGCTGCTTTCGCGCCGGGGCCGGGGCCGGGGCCGGGGCGGCGATAGGCGAGGCGGCACCGGAGACAACGAGTCCCTGCCGGGCCACTTCGTGCGGCGCCGGCTGCTGAAATCACTCCATTCCAGCTGCAGAAACCTTTCCGAAACCCCGAGCTTTTCCCACACAACTTCAGCCTCACCCGCCTCATCTCCCTCCCGCACTCCGCCCAACCGCACACCCTTGCTTCCCCACGCGGCGGATCCGGGCGTCCCCACCCGGGCCGCCTACCTGTCCCGGGGGCCCGCACGCCGGGCTCACCTCATACAAAGCGCAGCGCGCGGGCGCCGACGGAAGAGAGCAGGGAGCATGGCCCCATCCAGTCCCTCCCGGAACTTTCCTGACATTGCACTTCTCTCCTCCACGGCCCAGAATGAGGCTTCCAGGCAGCGGAGGAGAAACTGGAGGAGGAGGCGGCGGCGGCGGCGGCGGCGGCGGCGAGGGCAGGAGCTGGAGCAGAAAGTGAGGAGCATCGCGGCCGAGCGCCGCCGCCTCGCGAGCTGCCGAGGGGTTCCCGCCCCCGGGGAACCGACGCTCCCTCTTAAAGGCGCCGGCCCCGTTTTAGGCGCGGAGGTAAGGAAGGGGAGGTAAGAGGAGAGGAGCAGAGAGCAAGTAGAGACGGATACATCCTGGGAGGCCACCGCCCGCTCTGTTCCGGGGCTGCCCGCCTCCTCTCTCCACCCACGGTGGGGTCGCCCAAGAAAAGGCCCCGACCATAGCAGAGCGAGTGCTCCGGCCCGACGCCGGCGCCGCCCTTGCGGTTGGGCCCCACGGAGGTTCCCAGGACTTCGCCGCTGGCCCCACTCCGACCCCCATCGCCCTGCCCTCTCGCCGCGTCCCCAAAGTCTGCAGGCTCCGCTGGTGGCTGCCTTTTGCTCCCCGGCCATTCTGTGTTCCCCCTAACGCAGTGGTGAGGGGCTCTCCCCGGAGCGCAGGGGTTTCAAATAACCGAAGTGCAACTGGGGCCTCTGGACCGACCCCTGAAAGTGTCCCTAGGGCGTGGCATGGAAGCCTTGAACCAGATGTCCTGCATTACCCGGTGCTGTGTTCTCTTCCAATGGCCAGGTGCCAGCTGGCCTCCAGCTGGGTTTCCAGGACCATTTGTCAGCAAGGATTGTCTGTAAAGATCACCTGAGCGTACTCAGAAGGCCTTCCAGAGAAGTAACCTCTTCATATCTAAATGATACTGGGAAATGAATGCAGCTGTCAGTGACAGTGATGTTGTTTCTCCAGCTTTCCTTACCATTTGTGCTCATTCCTGGGACCACAGCCTGGGAATGCCCAGGAGACTCACAGCATCAGCAACTCTCACCAGCTTAGGAACAGATCACAGTAACAGTGGGCAGAGGGTCAGCCACTGTCCACTGGTTTTTTTATTATTTTTTTAATTTTAAAGACGTATTTTTTAATTTTATTTGAAAAGTAGAGTGACAAGGAAAGGGAGAGAGAGAAAGAGAGATTCCCATTCGTTGGATCACTCCCCAGATGGTGCTGTCATGTCTCTGACTGTGGGGGGTGGGCCATGCAGAGGCTGGGAGCTAGAAACTTCATCTGGCTCTACCACATGGGTAACTGGTAGCAAATACTTGGGTCATCTTCCCAGGCATATCAGCATGGAACTGGATCAGAAGCAGAGCAGCTAGGACTCAAACCTGTGCTCTCATGTGCCTATGCCTGAAAAAGGTCAAAGTAGCTTCAGTGTCCTGCACTCTGTTCATACTTAGACCACATGGACAACCAAGAAGGGAAGAGGTTCCCCAAAGGAACGGTCAATTGTTTTCAACAAAGAGGGGGAAGGAATGTCAAGTTCAGGAAGGTCACAGATGCCCACTACACCCCCTTTTCCCAAACTTACACACACACCACCACCACCCCCATGACCACCTACTCGGTGAGACGAGGGCTAACTACCTCCTTGGCTGTTTACCAGTAGCTTCCAGATCAGGAGAATAAGAACACTGATTGTCGTGGAGTTGCAAGTCACTGAACCAGGATCTCAATGATATTTAACAAATCTCTTGCAAGCGAACAATATCCAAAATATAAGTGTATTAATGGTTTTCCCTGAATTATGATAACTCTGCATCCATGCACCTCAACTCCACATTTATTATTAGGCCTTTTTTTTTGTTGTATATTCAATTTCAAAACATCCACAGGAATTCCTTGATATATATGTATGGAACTTTTCTTAAAAATGTGGCCCATGAGTAATCACATTTTAGTATCCAGAGTGCCCAGGTTCATTTAAGATTCAGTAGCTTCTTTATCTTTTTACTGATAGCATGGAGCAGTTTATACTTTACCTACCAAAAATGCCAGGTTCAGCCATTTTCCTCCCACTTCAGAACTTTTCTTGTAGTTACCGATAAAGGAGTCCTATTTTTCTTCCTTCAGTTGTGCATCTTCTAGAAATCCTTATATATCATTAAAAGATAGCTTTATGAACCTAGAAGAGGATAACCTAAAAGATCCCCCTCATTTCAGGAATAAAGAAATTACAGCTCTGAGATCTAACGTAGCCCTATTTAGCATCTGTGATGCACCTAACCAATGTTAGACATTTTGAAGAGTACAGAAGCAGAAGCATAGAACATGGCCACTGTCTTCACAGAGATTAAAAATAGTCCAGGAGACATAACCATATAAAACAGAAGGCAATTGCAAAGCATCACAATATATCTTATAATGCCATGTAAAAAAATGGGATGAGCTCTATGTGTTAAAAGTAAGCATCAGAATAAGAGACACTGAGGACTAGAGTACTCTTGGAAATGCTTTTCACTGAGAGTACAAATTTATGGCCTTGTGGACAAAAAGAAAGGTGTTTTCCAGGTGACAGAACAAAATGTGAAGGCATTGATGAGGGAAAGGATATTGTCATTTGTTGGAACAGAAAAGAAATCTGTAATGGCCTGGTTTAGAAGAGTGATTCAAAATGCAAGTCACGAAATCATTTACTAACTGTTGGCCAGTATCTTTATTTTTTCAAGAGGAAAATAGAGGAGAGACAAATGGAGCTCCCATTCACTGGTTCACTCTCCAAATGCCTACAGCAGCCCGCATTCAATCAGGCCAAAGCCAGGAGCCTAGAACTCAATCTGAGTCTCCCATGTGGAAGGCAGGGACCCAGCTACTTAAATCATCATTTGCTTCCTCCCAGGGTACACATTAACAGAAAGTAGCATCAGAAGCAGAGCCAGGACTTCAACCTAGGCACTTTGATATGGAATACGGGTGTTTTAAGCACTAGGCCAATTAACCATTCATAACCTGTATTATTTTCATTAAATAAAAATCAGAGTGCTTCATACTTTGTAACATTATTTGTTAAACTTACATTTCATTATCACGCATATTCTGAATTATGATATAAATTCCCACCTCAAAATACACTTAACAGGTGAATCTAGGGACCAAGTTTCCAACACATGAACTTTTGGGAGACACATTCAAATCACAGTACTAGGTGATTCTACTGTGCAATAATAACTGAGAAGCCTTGGGTAGGCCCCATAGCACAACACATCCAGCCCTCAAGGAGCATGGGGATACTTCCTTCACCTGGTATGTGATTCCGTGATCTATGCTTCAGTTTCTTCAGCAGGCCTCAGACAGCAAGCTAGGAAGTTAAAACAGAATTTGAACAGCTCTGTGCTCTGCATCTGAAGAGTCTTCAACTGTGGTGGAAACTACTTACAGTATATATCAGTAACAACATGAGTCAGAAGCTCTTATATGTCTCTCCACATGTTCAATTTGTGGTCAATTAGCAGCATATAGTAATTTCTGGAGTTACCAAAAGGCAGTACAATACTGCCAAAAACTCTCTCATGAAGATGCAAATGTCATTGGAAACCCATAAACTGAGTAATTAACCAAGAGTTCATTAAATTTCAGCCATTTTCATCCTCTCCAAAAGATTCTAAATATAATATAAATAGAGCAGATTCTAAATCTAGTAATTTGTGATGTGTTTTCATTAATGTTGCATTCAGTAATCCTTCTTAAGTGTTCATAATTTACATTTTTCCACATCCAGTCCATCCCTTTGCAGGAGAAACATTTTCGGATTCAACTTACCCAAGATTCAGAACACAGAATCACTGGTATTTTATCTGTTTGTTTTGTCTATGTAAATTTAGACTTTTTTGGACTTTGGTTACAGAAAGATAATAAAAGTAGCATAATTTTGAATCACCCCAAAGAGACATGACAACCAAGCAAAGGAAAGAAACACTAAGACAGCAAGTCCAATAACCAGACATTGTGTGCTTCATGATATGACCAAATCAAAGGTACTCAGAACTATTATAGATCTCCTTGCCTAATCAACTGAGTCTGAATCTAATCAAGCCTCTAGACCCAACACGAAACACAAGGGACAGAGGATCAAGTTCAAAACCACCCCAAGGAAGCAATCAGTCAAATCCAGAATGTCAAACATTCAATTAAAAAAAAAATGACCCAGTTTATCTACCAAAGCAATGTCATGAAAAAACAGGTCAGATTCTGAAAGAGTAAGAGTTCTAAAAATCACAGTAGGGGCCAGAGCTGTGGCATGGTGGGTAAAGCTGCCACCTGAAATGCCGGAATCCCATAGGGGCATCCATTCGAGTCTGGCCTGCTCCATTTCTGATCCAGCTCTCTTCTATGACCTAGGAAAGCAGTAAAAGATGGCTCAAGCCCTTGGGCTCCTACACTTTTATGCAAGTCCTGGAAGAAGCTTCTGGCTCCTGGCTTCAGATTGGCCCAGCTCCAGCTGTTGCTGCCATTTGGAGAGTGAACCAGTGGATGGACGATATCTCTCTCTCTCTTTCTGCCTCTGCACTCTGTAACTCTGCCTTTCAAATAAATAAATCCTGAAAAAAAAGCAGTAATTAAGTGCACTGTGCAGACATTGTGTCTTATTTTGAATAAACGACCTCTGAAAAGAACCCTTGATGCAATCAGAAAAAACAGATTATGAAATAAGTATTAGACACTATAAATGAATTGTTAGATGATAATGTATGGTGATTTTGTTAGACGTGATAATGGCATGTCTTATATATAAGTGTTATCAGAGATATATACTAAAGAATTTATAATAGTGAAAAAATGGAAGGAGGAATAGATGAGAAAATGATCATTTTTGAAGACAGGAGATGGATATGTGGAGGCATATTATCCTATACTCCCTATTATTGTGTATGGAAAGTTCCATAACATAAGTTTTTTTAAAAAAAGCACTTCTGTTTGACGTTGACTTAAACATTTTTTTACTTATTTGAGATGCAAAGAGAAAGATAAACATACACACAAATTATATATGTGTGTGTGTATGTGTGTGTATATATATATACTAGAGAGAGAGCACAGAGAGAAAGAGCTCCCATCTGCTTGTTCACTCTCCACACCTGATGAGAGCAGGACTAGCCCTGGCGAAAGTCAGCAGTTAGGAACTCAATTCAGGTCTTCACATATGTGGCAGGAACCCAATTACTTGAGCCCTCACTGCTGCTTCCTGGAGTCTACATTGGCAGTAGGGAGTAAGGAGCTAGGGCCAGAAATCAAACACATGTAAAGCAATAGCATCTTAATCAGTATCTTAAAATCTAGGCTTCATGCCCATCCCTGTGTTTTTAATAGACTTTTTTCTTGGTTTTGCTAATAAAACAATGATAAACATACATGAGTCTAGCCCTGGTTGTGCATCAGGAATCAAAGCAAGCCTTTAAGCTCAGATGTG